TAACTGCCTGTTGATGACAGCCATACACTTATGCGAAGGGACAGCTGCGTTACCAAAATAACCTCACGTTCCTTTACATTTTGAGATGATGTACCTTGATTGTCCTCAAAGGAAACCAAGCTAGATCGACAGGGTCTACAGATGCAGAGTTAATATGACAGAACTAGACAAGCCTTTTGCTCAAAGTAATACTGCAGAACCCCAGCACTCCTATGCATGACCAGTACTGCTCCTTAACAAGTCTACTACATGGATGAAAAACCAAATAACCATTTTTTTTTTCCTCTTCTGGAAAGAAACCAAGAAAAAAACATAAAAAGGACAAGTTGCATATTTGAAAGATAGCTGGTTTTCATTAATTCTTAAAATTTCTACCTATGTGGAAAAATCAGAAAAGGAGAGGCATGTATTTTCCATCTACTGCAATTCTAATTCTCATAGCTGTTCCTCTACATTAACGCAACCACTTGCACATCCTACTGAGACAATAAACAAGTACAGCCTTCCCAAGCCACATTTGAAAATAAGATGGCAAAATATTCATGTCCTGAGAAGGACAAGATTGCCTCCCTATTGGTTTATGCAGTGAAAATTAAGTATTTCTTCTTCTTACCACACACTTCCAAGACCCTGTAATTGCTCATTGATCCACCACTGCCCATATTCTGAATGTGATTAGAAGCAGACAACTCCACAGCTACTGAGTTTGGTTCAACATCTCAGATTATGACTACTGTGCAACCAGATTGATGAGCATCAATCTGACAATTCTAAAGCAGCTATAAACCCACATTTTTATGTGCACTGTAATGTTACTCATTCATTGTTTCCTCAATGCCCAACTAAAATGTCACAATGCTCAACGAACAGGCCTGGGTATTTCATCAGTTAGACCAGTCTCTCATAAAACACAAGTAAAACAGACTTTGTTGGAATTTTTGTGGTTTCAGTACATCCAGCTGTCCCATCCCTGAGCACATGCACAGGGAACTTGAAGATGCAGGCTCCTGCTGCTTTTCCAACTTCTCATTTTAAAGTAATTAGCATTCTCAGTGCACGCACGTGCACGAGTACATTTAAAGGGGGTGTAAAGGCTGCCCACTTGATGCAGTGGAAAAATACACAGCAATTGACTGAATAAAGTTATATTGCAATCGATCCAGAAGAAAAAAAAATGCTATTCATTATCAACAAGGTCTCATATCTTCTTGCTGCTTTCAAAAAACCAAAACACTGCAGGGGGGATCCTCTGCTCCCTGCTAAACAAAAAACAGCATTTTCAATGCACTTAATTAGCAGTGTTTTAGGTCTGTGTCAGATTCATCATCAGAGCTAATTGATTTCAGGCACAGGCCAATATACCACCCAAAATCATTTATGCAAAGGTAGGTGGTGAAAAGGAAAACAAATCTGATTAAGAAAAGCGTGAGGAGGAGGCACAGCATTTACAAGCTGCACACAGCATTCCCTCTACGAGAAATAACCGTGTTTAAAAACATTCTGAAGGGATGCCCCACAATCAAATTTCACAGGACTGCTCTGGAAGCCTGGAGATTGGAGATTTTAAATTAGACCAAGCTGGCTGAAAAGGCACACATTCATCTTCATCTCTGGAAAGAACATGGGGGAGACAAAATTAAATTATATTTCCTGGCTTATTTCCATGCTCCCCCTTCCACCTCCACACACAAAGCAGAAGTGTGCACTGGGGCAGGAAGGTCTAGAGGAAATTGTGGTGGCACACAGGACAGTATTTCTAGAAAGCACAAATACTTATCACAACTAGCTAGCTGCACTGCAGTTTGAATGCAACTCTGTCAGTGGGAATATCTGACGTTAGCACTTCTCAGAGGAAAGAGACATGCGCTCCTGTCCTCTTGGCATAAAAAGCACACATTGCCAGAGCAGGAGGCAGCTTCCCTGGCCTGAAGCCCACGCTGGAGTCCAAGGAGATAAAAGGCTGATAATGCCCCTCCTCTCCCACTCCTTCACACATGCAGAAACCAGTATTCTCCAGACCTGCTTCTGTGCTGAGCTAAATTCCGTGTTTATACTCATCCCTTTTAACTCCTTCAAAATAACAAATACGGAAGAGTGTTTCATCAATCAACTTCCACCTTAGTCCACAGCAGAGAGCTACTTCCAGCACACCAAAACAGAGCACACTAGTAGCAGGGCTGGCTCCCTGGACATGGACATTCATCAGCCCACAGAGCCTGCAAGTGCCCAGCTGCAAGCACAGGCGTATAATCATTGTTACAGACGATTTTATTTTTAGAACCATTCAAATAAGACGTATTTTCCTGGCCTCAGAGACAGCTGTATCATAGCTCACCTCAATAATTAGAGACCTCTTCCTTGGGCAGACCCAAGGTACTGCCCAACACCACCTTTCCCACAGGAGCCCCACAACTGCTTTGGGGCAAGTCATGTCATACATAAGACATACATGTACCCATCTCCTAAAAATGTATTTTAAAAATTATTTCTGTAAGCATGAATAAATGAACAGTTGCTGGTTTTCTCTTTTCCCTTGTTATTCAGCAGATGTGAACATAATATTCAAGAAGGAAATTCCTATTACATTTGGTGTCTATTTCTACTCTATCATCACTTGCATGCTACTCTTTACTGCAACCTACTGTATATTTTTACCTTTTTTAACCTGTACATAGCTGCAAGATTAAAAGATTTAACTTCATTTTAACAGACACTAAAGCTTCTAACTACTTTTTCTTTCAGGTCATTTTCCTGAACTAATTTTGCTCACACTGTATTTATTCAGAATACATTGGTAGCAACATAAAAAAAAAATTAAACACCCAGGACCAATACAGCTGCAGTAAATAACATTGCTGCATGAATGTGCTGTCTCACTGAACCAAGGAAGCTCAGTGAGACATTGGCATGTTTCTGCATCAGACTGCAAGTGAGCAACAACTGTTAACTTTATCTTGGTACAATACTGCTGACTGCTCCAATTAAAGTACTACATTTTTCTCTAGATACCTCCTGCAACCCCAACCAGTACAGCAGATGAACACTTTTGACAGTTGCTACTCACACCTCAACACCTTCTCCCCAGCCTTCGGGGAGATGTGAGTGAGTGGAACCCAATTTTCATCCAATTATATATTCCCACTTCTTTTATAGATCTAGTGAAAACAACAAGCTTCCCTCAGCCTTCATTTCTTTGCCTGAAAAAGAAAGCTATCCAGCTAACGACTTTGCGGGTGGATTAGTCAGTACTGATGCAACACTTCAAGAGGCGTACATTAACATCCATCACAAAAACCATCTAACAACAGTGCTCTGAACCTAACTCCGCTCTGCAGCCACGCCATTGCAGTGTTGCAGGTCATTAACTGTTTCACTAGCACATTTAAGATACCTTTTAATTTACTCCAACACAAAGATGGCTAATGAACGATTAGCTGCCACACTGCAGCCAGACACCCCAGATCAGACATGATACAGTGCCCTCTGTTCTCACTCAGCAAAACCGAGGCTGAGGCCCGCAGGCCACAGATCAGCGCACACCGAGGCACGGCCTTTCCTGGGCTGGTGATGGCCACAAGCCCTCTGCCCAGTTCCTCCTCTGGCTGGCCCCAGGGAGCCCAGAGCAAAGCGTGCACAAGCTGACTGAGGCAAAATATTAACCAGGGTAAGGCAGAAGATAAATAGCTAACTATAGGGCACTGAGGTAAGATACCACTGATGTGGAAGAGATACCAAGCAGATTATCAACAATGCTACTCCTGCACCTCCAAAGACACCCCAAGGCAAGGAAAGACACACCATTTTTGTCACCGAGGAAAAGGCACACTTACCGTTTTCTTTCGCTGCCTTCAACTGGCTGCAGGCCAGGCTCCACGGGAGCTGAGAGCTCTTCCACCTCACAATGAAGCACCCAGCCCCTGCAGCAGTGCCAAAACTCTCCCCGGGGGCTGGGGCTCCCCACACTAATAGCCCTAAGGGCATCAATCGTCTGAGAAAGGCCTGAACCGCCTCAGCTGTGGCCGCCTCCCCCACACCTGGGCTGAGGGCAGCAGGTGTCAGCCCCGGCCCTGCCCTGGGCCCCTCTCGCCCTCTGCCCCACACAAACCAGCATCCATCTAAAGTACTGCAGCATAACCAGTAAAGAGCAACTCTCCTGTGAGTGAGCAAGGGGTGTTCTCTGCCCCTCTCCTCGCCAACATGAGGGACTAGGTGCCTTGCACAAGAGCCACTCAAACTAATCAAGGGCAGCAGACATTCAAAACACCACCCTGCCACACAGCCATCAAAATGCACACAGAGCATGGAAGTTCAAACTGCAGATGTGTTTGTGCAATACACTTTTATTTTAATTTTACTTTTTTAACCTTTGCAGTCATCTTGGAGTAATCATCATGTAAACATTAGGATGAGATGGGATTACACTGAGACGTACGCAAATGGTTCTAAGACACCTCAACGATTATGACAAGGCATTATAAATAACTTCTCTTAATATATACTTGCCATTTTCAGTACATTAAAGAGCTGCCATTTATCTAGGATTAGCTAGGAAGTAGTTAAAATTGTAACCTCCAAGTAACACATCTCCAGATTCAGAAGTCTTTCTAAGGTTTGCTAGCTCCATAACATCTATGTCACAGGTTAAGCATAAGACTACTTGGGTCAGAAGTGTTTTCTTTGTAACAGAATTTTACTTGATCATTGCACAAAGCCCTATTATTTTCACTCCACCTTGGTATTTTGCAGACTTAAAGTAAAGCTTTAGTTCTGTTCTTCAAGTTTTTATCACTTGCATTAATCCAGTTTCTATCATTAAGAATAACTTGGATCAGAGATGGACACAGTAAGCTGTCTACCTTAACGACAATGGTTCAAAGTAGTTCTAGCTCAGACTCCTCTATAAAGCACAGTCAAAATATTCTTAACACCTTTGCTACTGTATATCCCCTCCTTGCTCAGATAACTATATGTATTTATATATGTTGTACCATGTACATGGTACTTACAGAAAATGGAGATTATTTATTTGAGCAGCCTCAGGCACATTCTTAAAACATTAATGTTGCAAGGCACCTCCCACTCCCTTGACAATCAGTTTGTGGACTGGTTTTTAGACACACAACCAACAAAAGCTTGCTAGTGACTACTTAATTTAAAAAAAAAAAAAAACCTAGAAGTTACCAAATACTTCAAAGATATACCTGAATTTTTTTTAAATAATGAGATTAACTGCAAATAGCACATAATCATGTCAAATCATTTTCTTGTTACTAGGATGTGTAATGCATAAATATATGAAAAATAAAATTCACAGTTTTAAAACTAGAATTCAAGTTTGGCTAATAATTCTTAACTTTTATGTTAATTTCTAAATAGAACAGAACAGAGGCAGTATTATCAACCACAAGTACAGGTAAAATAGTATCACTCAAAGTTTATGAAAGAAGTAAGCTTGATAGAAAATTCCTTTTGTAACCAATAAATACAGCTACCTGAGTGCATTTCCACAGGCCTTTCACTTAGGGGAAATCCAAATCAACTGCTAAGAGACATTTAGTAGCATTCTGAATGTTAGCAGCAGCGGTGTAGCTGTGAGCTTTGCTTGTTCTGACTTTGTGAATTGCTAGAGAATGAAGCAGAACTGTGTGTCGTGCATTAATTTTCCTTTGCATCTAAGCTGGACTCTTCGCAATATCACAATTCGTCTTGGGGTCAAGGGACAGACATCAGCTGACACTTAACTGAGCAAACCCAATCAGTTTCACTTCATCAGGAATCTCAGTGCCATCGCAGCCAGAGGCCTGCAAGTACAAACAGAAATGTTTAGTATATCACACTAAAAAGGCAGATTTGACAGCCAGGCTATAAATTTCCCCCGTATCACCTAGTCAGCAAACAGCTTCCTTGAAGGAAAGCTTTCAGACTGCTTGGTGTATCCTCTGTTGGTGCCAGCCAACTGCATCCTTAATGTTAGCAAACTCTTTTAATCAATATTAAAAAATATGAAGAAAATACTGGGAAATGAACCATTAAAGACCCAAGTTCTTTAATCAAAATTTTCTAGACTGGAGCCAAATTTGCTTTTTTATGTGAGCATGTTGTTTTCACTCATGAAGAGGCAATAACTGACATGTATAGAATCTACCTTTCACCACTGTGTGGTAGACACCAAGTGTCTCATGAGTCCAGCTGTCAAATCTGTTTGCAATACCAATCCACTGAATTTTAAACAAGAAATTTTACTCTACAAAGAGTAAACACTAGTATTTGCAAAAGGACAGCTCCTTTCTGACAGTACAATCTAGTACTTAAAATTGCATAGGTGAGATTCTTCATCAAAGTCTTTCCCAGTACAAACTGGCACAAGTAATCAGTTCACTTTTCACAAATACCAGTAAAAATATAAAACCATCTTGCTCAGGACCGAACTGTTACTTTAGGTCTGCTTTAAAAAAATTACACACAGCGTTGGCAAAGTATTTTGGTTTTTATAAATACAAGCTTTGCCTCTGTAGGACATAAATTACCACATTTTCAAAAAGTTTTTTATGCATTCTTCACTTGTGTGGTAAATAAATAAAAATAGTAATACAATTGGATGCACGGTGTGTAATGGTAAGTTACTTATGACAGATGCCTTCAGACTCTTTGGCGTATTCCCCCCAAAACCATCAGAACAATTGGTTCACCCTATAAAAATGCCCTTGATCCTTTAATGCATTAGTAGCAGTTGAACTCTTTGGTAGGACTGTTTGTGTATATGTCATATAAGGAAGAGAGGACTCAGATTGTGTACACAAGGTACACCAATTGACGTTATCCTCTGAGTTTCCATAACCAAAAATAAACTCACTCAATACTTGAGGAAGCATTACATCAGGCTAGTCCTTCAAATTAACTCGATCAGACACAGAGAACAGAAGTATTCACAGAGAGTATTTCACAGGTCTTATTCCACTGATGCAGCAAGTTAAAGGTACCTCAATGTTTTTTGGAGTGGGAATTTACTAAATAAATGGAGTTTGAATTCTGCACTTAAAATATGATTAAAAGAACTAATATTGCTGCATCATTCTACACTATAGCTAGCTATCAAACTCCTCAAAGCCATACTAAGTAACATATCTAGATGCATAATGATTTTTAAATGCCTTCCTTATCATAAACACTAATATTTAATGCATGTGGAACGTACTAGTTTATATGTTGTGCTTAGTGTAAGTACAACTACACAAACTGCAACATACAAAAAAAGCTCTTAGTATCTGCAATTCACTGTTTAGTGACTGAAAGCATTCTTTCCTTCATGGTTTTTTCCTCCCTTTTTTATATGAAAAATCCATACATAAAATGCAAATTATGCTGTGCACTAAGTTTTTGTTTCCTTGAGTGTTGCCAAGATTAGTTGTCTATTAAAAGTAGCCTCTTGCCCAAAGTGCGGACAGCTTGGAAGTCTCCATTCTGTGTTAGCCAAGACAACTAAGGGAGGTTTATTACTATACATGTTCTCTATAAAATGACATGGTTGTAAGATCAAAGATGCGCTGTTAAAACAATATATGCAAGAGGGAAATCAAACCTTAAAGACAGATTCATCCAGACACCTCACTTCTCTAATGTTCTTTACCATTGTGACAATAAAGACAAAACCAATTAAGACATGTTGCTGTTCTTTTCCCCCCCCAAGAGGAAAGTGCTTGCTGTTCAAATAGAAATCCTCCACACCAGCAAAAGCAATCTGCAAGCAGCAATATACTAACCAGATTTCTTGACCACAAACAGTAGTAACTAATCCTTGTCTAAAGAGCACTTTTCCATTGAATTCTTTGAATGGATGTAGGATTAGCTACATTTAGACTCTGAATCCCCATGAAATATCAACAAAAAGTGTTTTAATCAAGTTGTATACAAGTGATCTCAAATTTAGTGAGACCTTGCTAAGAAGTAAAACAAGACTCCGTAGGGCATACAAACAAATGACTAGGCAACAATTCACTTAGCAATTCCACTACACAATACAGAAACAGAACATACAGTAAATTAATCCAAGGATAAGAATAAATTAGGATCCTTCTTGTGATTATGTTCTTTTCCTTGGAAGTAGGGAACTAATGCAGGAAACCTAGTTTAAAAATACCAGGAAGAAACTCAGGTTTAAAATCAACCTCAGGAATTGTTACCTAGCCAATGGAACTAACCTTGAAAAAGGATAAAGACATTGGTTTTGGATTGTCTATTAATTCTGGTTATGGTAAGGAGTAGGATTGTAATAGCATTCACTCACTGGAATCTGAAATACCATGTGACACTGATAGCACTCCAGCAATAAATTCAACTGAATCACAGAAATACCCCAATCTAAATTTTGGCATCTCAAGCCTCTATTTTAAGTGTGTGAACTAGAAACCCAGACTTCTACAGATCCTCCAGAGTACCCACGTATCTAAATGCTCTTGGCAAGATGCCACTGACTACACAATAAAGCTAACTCAGATGTTCAGACAGCAAGAACAAGATCAGCTGCAAGAAGCATCAGCCTTTAAGTTCTGTTTTGATGGAAAGAGCCACAGAAACAAAACATTTTGAGGTACATGTCCTTATTCCCCCACCCCAACCTCTTCCCAAAAGAAATGTGTACATTCTGGTGATTTTACTGAATTGTAGAGAAAAAATGAGTCTAAATTGTTTGGTCAATTCAAATTACTCAAATCTACAGTCAAAAAAATGACATGGGAAGAACAATCCTGAATTAATACATTATCATCAACTAGGTCATTTTCTAAAAATGGCTCTCTACAGCCCATATGAAGCAGCTGCTTTTACAAACAGGGCTGTGATTCTGGAGACCTACTAACAGACATTCAGTCTAGTCTTTTATACGTGGCTGACTCACCCTCAGCAAGGGGTGCTGAAAGCTAATTGGTAAGAGTTTGGTATTTACACAGCTAATCATTCAATAGCTTTAGGTGTGTAAGTTCCTCAACTTAATTTTAGCCAAAAATAAAATGAAATACAGCATATCAATTCTGAATTAAGTTTTTGCAATGTAAAGTTATAAATATTAAATTAGATCTATCTACAATAGCATCAAAATTGACTAAAATTAGGACCCATGGTCCAGGGCACAAAATGCAGCAAACAGTTCCAGGCCCAAAACCAGGGACTGACGATGTATATGCAGAAGACAGAAAGAGGTGGGGAGGGAGAAACAGTAATGAAATACAGTGGGAGCAAGATTAACTAGCAAGTGTGGATGGTCAATTGAAAGAAGGTTGAAGGAACGGAGCAAGGAATCTGCATGCAGTGTATGCAAGATAAATGTTTGCAGGTGTCAGAAAAAATGGGAACAGAACATCAGAGGACACTTCAGCCAGGGCAGAGCTGAGGGAGTGGGGATGGATGGAAGTTCACCTAACTACAGTTTTCTCTACTTTACTTGTTTCTACAATTCTTCCCAAGGGGTTTCTCCCTAGAACTTCTCACCTAAACCTCAGATTTCCTCAGAACTCATGTGAATGAACCTCCTTAGGGTTTAGGTTTTTTCTTTCACACATGGCAACTTCAATCATCTTATTTGTGAACACATTTATTTAGAAAAATAGCTGTAAACAAGATAAAATCCAAGCGGTGTGAATACTGTGATAATTAGTTTGTTTCTTCCCTTCATGCTTTTACTTACCAGTTTAAAAGTCAACGTTTTCAAGGCCTTTGGATCATCTACTATCTTCTGTAAGTTAGCAGCAACTGTAAAATAAAGTATGAATGAAATTATATACAGAAAGTTACAACGTGACATCAAGCCTCATGTTGAATCTTCTACTTAGTTCTACACACATGCACGTCTGTAAATTACCACTTGAATCCTTTCATCACTCTAGCTGTCGTTTGAAAGTCAGAGAGCAGTTGGGCTGCCATAAATCCTGCCTCCTTTCTTCTGCAGTCACTGATACTTTGTGACTATGTGAAATGATTCAGGGGAAAAAAATCTGTCTGAAAAACCAGATGACAGAAAAAACACAACCCTGTTAATTTTCAGCTTAGTCTATTCCATAAACTTGCCTAACAATCACACAAACACAGATGCATAGCCGAATCACACTGCCAAGGGTAAGCTGATGGGTGTCACGATTTATATCACATTTATACACTAGCCAGGGCCACCAGCAGCACAAGTTTTTCTAGAAGGCTGAGCTCACTGTCCCCTCTAGCTTCTCTTTCTCCTGTGTGTTTCTGTCCCTTTTCTGGGCTGGCATTAGTATCCACACAGACTCTTGGTGATCTGCTACAGATCACCAAACCAAGAGAAAAATGAGCAAAAATAGGAGAGTGCTATAAAAGGAGATGATCTTTAAAACAACACTCTCAGTAAGCATGACCGAGATTTATGATGTAACAGCGATAAACAGTTTAACTACATCTACAGAGCCAGTGTCCAGAGAATTAAGCTGTATGCCATAAAAGAAGTAGCAGAAGGGAATCATTTACTCCTTGAAAACAGATAAGGAGGCAGAAAAAGAATAAATGCTTCTTCTATCAAAACACCTAAGTCACACTTTTAATTGGTTGATTTTGTTTTAATAATATTGCTACTGTTAATCTTGACCAAAAACTTGGCTGCTTTCAGCTTTGTACGTTTACTAAATCTGCTCCCCAGCTTAGCACAGTGATAGATCCTGAGCTAACTCAGACGGAATTGCTGAGAGCCTTTGTTCAAGACTGACTTATGAGCACAAGATGTCAGCAACAGGACATCAGCATGAGATAAAGACTCCACACTTGGCAGATCTGCTTAGACAAGGTTTTAGAAAGGAAATAAACAGGTATTAAGTCGCAGACATTTCTTAGTACACTGAGTAGGTAAGTACCATAAAGCAGAGAAGCAAGAAAACAGATGTTCTCCATAAATAATACTTTCCACAGACTTCATAAGGTGGAAGATACATAGCAAACATACATGTTGAATGTCCTACTGCTACAACCTCAGGCTCTTACTTCCTCCATCTTCTAACACCACAGGATTTTCACTCCTACCGTGCTTAGTCATGTATGATTTCACTGTCTAGTAACAGAAACTGGCCTCACAGGGGGGAGTACAGTGTTTGGCAAGGGAATTTAAACAATTAGGCCAATCTACCACAAATTCAGTTTTTTAGGGGTCTCTTTATACCACTTTGGGCGTTTCTTTATACCACTGAAATGGCACCAAGGATTGTTTATACAGCTGAAACAAATTTGACTAGGGATGAAAGCATGTTTGAAACTAAAAAACTAAAACCAAGCCTTAAAAGCAAGCACAAGGTACATTTTACGAGAACACCTTTTGGAAAGAAAAAAAAAAATTAACCTCCACAGCTAAATGAACACAACTACAGACATTATATTAGACAGTCTTTCCACTTTTAAAGTTTCATTATTCATAATCTTCTTTATTCCGGTCATTACAAACAGTTTTTATATTAATCACAGAATTCACTTCCACAATCAATAAGTCAATTTTAGTGTGATATCTCCTACCTGATAAAATACATGTAAATACAAATAATGCTTTTCATTACAATTAATACTCAGAACCTCATGTGTATGCAAAAAGGAGTGTACAGCCTCATAGCTCCTGAAGTCAGGATGGAATAGCTTCCGTTTTTTATGTTTTAAAAAAATCTATAAAACAGGATCATGCACTCAAGAGCAGCTCTGGCTTATCCAAATCCCTGTAAAACATGTCTTTAAAAAAAATAAAAAAGAAGTAACAAATTCTTCAGCTCGTGTTAGCTGGCTTCACTGAAATGGAGACAGTTCTACAAAAGCAGATAGGAGTTGGGTCCTAAATGCAAGATTTCTAACTTCACCGATTATAAAATGTTACAGAAAGATGAGCTTCAAATGCAGGGCTGTCTTCAAGGGGGCAGAGTCTTTCATTTAATATTGAGCAGCTGCAGAACACCTAATGCAAGTCAGCATGCTGCTTGGCTATTTCGCCTGAAAGCAAAAACTTCCAGCTGCCCTTAGGCAAAGTTACTGGCTAAGTTACTACTCCTGCACTTGCAAATAGCAGCCCATTATCAGCAAGCATTTTAATGAACTATCATACCAGTGGAAAGCAGCACTGTGGACTTCACAAGTAGTATCAAAACCTTAAAAAAAAAAAAAAAAATCTTAACCTACCTGCTGATTCTTTACCAGGGAAGAATTTAAATTTTCAAAGCAAAAATAGCAGAAGATAAACTAGCAATATATGTAAACAATTAATTATAGTTACTTTGTTGTTGTTAATTAAACACCCTAACAGAAAGGAGTGATATTTTAGATGGGTACCATTCTTCAAGAAAACTGCTTTTCAAAAAACAGTGCTCATTTAAAGGCTACAGGGACACAGTTTTATTTGTTCACTTTACTTTTAATATGAACACAAGCAAAAAACTTTTACATGTAAATGCTAGAAAAACATCTGAAGCAAACATATGAAATACGCTTTATTTTTGCTTCGCTGATGAGCCATAACTAGAGAGGGACATCTTTGATTAAACAGAAGATTGGGAGGATTTAAGGGAGTAATGCCAGATGTTTTCAGGCTATACTTGAAAAATGAGAAAGCAGATCTGCAAAGAGTCCATAATATTAGAATACAAGCTTACATGAAAAATAGTCACACCTGAAGTTTCCTATAGACTGATCTTTTCAATTTCAATTATACACATTCAGCACTTTCCAAGTGAAACTACAGTTTCACCTGTGACTTTCAGTATTCCATGTTTCATGGATTCTGGTCTTTCCAGAATGGCAAAAAAAGAAGAAAAAAGATTTTGCCAAAATAATGTCATTAATCCCATTCAGTCAAGGCACCGTGAATGTAGATCCCTGTCAAAGGCCTCCTCTTTCTGCAACATCTGAAACTGTAATTAATTAACAACACCTAAGAAATATGTGCATGTAATTACCTAGCAAAACCATAGAGTCCTGCTGGTATCTTTCTCATTTTTCTAATCCCTTTTTTTGTTTTGCTAGGTTTTGTCCTTATTTAGACTGCAAAGCCAACAATTAGAGGCAACTGTCTGAATTTGGATACCTAAGCCTGCATTTCAGGAAATTACTAAAATATGGCTCATATTTTTTAGGGATGTGACAATCATTACCCTTTTTGCCTTAGTGTAAGCCAAAGGTTCTAGGACCTCAGTAGGCATGTAGCACTGGGCATGTCTCTCTGCACTAAAACACCTTGATGATCGGAGCTCAACTGGTAACCAGAATCTTGGGGCTTGATATAGTCAGCTAGGAACCCATGCACTGCAGGAGTCCATGGCATCTCTAGTTCCATTAATTTCCTTTAGAAACAGAGCCTGCAGCACAGGTGGCAGAAGCCATCCAAGCAGTTGAAAGTCCTTCCTGAAAGCCAGCACACAGCACCTTCCAATTACTTCTCCAGAAAGTCTAGGGATCCCATCTTACCTACAGTAAAGACATCCTCAAAATTACAATTAGAACATCATACTCTAGAGTGGAATACTCATCCTACTTTAAATGCAATTAAATTAAGCTATCAGTTGCATGAACTATAACTGACTTACACTGTCACAAATATACTTCTAAAACTGTTACTAAACATACAATTTGGACCACTAAGTATGCAAAGTCTCCTGAAAGACATGGACATGCCAGACATACACACTCACAACAGTAAACAATGTTCTCACATAGAAGCAGCTGCTGCTACTGTTCAGCCCTATTCAGAATTACTGATCGCATCAGGAAAATAACCATCCCACTCTCACCACCTTTCCCGTGCTCCCAACAATTCTTCTATTGCAAGTCAGAGAACAAAGTCAATTTAGTACAGTAATGCTCTCCCTCAAGGGAAGAGGAGTTTCACATTAGTAGTTTCTAGAGAGGTAGGAATCACTCTCTCCACCGACACTTAAATTATTTGGAAAAGCGGAGAGCACTGTAAAATGTATTTCTCTGGATTCTACTTTACACCTTATCTCTAAGATAAGTATACTACAGCTCCTGTTGGCAAAGTCATTTTTCTTTGAGATACTCTGAACTCATGCCTCGGTTGTTGTACTTCTGAAATTAATAGTGGATCAGTTTGCCCACAAGTAGCACTAATTTACAATTTGAAATCCTGTTGGGAATTCACTGTTTCTACAAGGCCTGGATATACCAGACTCAACTTTATGTTGCAGAGTGTTTCCTCAAGGTGTTATGGCTATGCTCCTATAAAAGTGAGAAGAAACATGAACAAGATAACTGCAGGAAAAAATTAAGTGCTGATGGAAGAACCTTTGCTGGCAGTAACCTCAGGTAAATAGAGTATACTTCAAATCATGCCATGGAGCAAAAGCCCTCTTCAGAAGTTAGCCGCAGTTAGCACAACAGGCTTTTTGTTGTTTACAACAATAAATGAGGTGTCGTTCTGCTTACTTCAGAAGCTTTCTGAAGGACATATGATCAACCTACATTCCACAAATCATTCCAAGTTCTTCTGCTGGTTTTGCTCAGTGACAAATGGTTGTGCCATTCTGTCAAAAAAAGTATCTGCACTTGCGGAACATGCAATAGGAGAAAAGGTCAAACTCAGCATATAAATGTACACAACACAGGCTGCTAATTGCAGATGTAATAAATAATGAAACCCACGTGACCACAGTCCTCTAGCATGCATATTTACGTAGAATATACTTTGCTCTACCACAATTTTGGCCCACCGTATCAGTTATTTTTAAAGCGATCAACATAAGCTGGGGTAC